TCATACACATAATACAAGAGTATCTGCTTTTATTCCAAGCTCCCTCATTCCCAAAAGAAGTCTTTTCTCTTGACTTCTACACTACTGTCTTTGCCTAGGCTAACAGTGGCCATACAGAGAGAATGCACTTACTGAAGCCAGCTTATTCGTAGGGGTTGTGCTGTCATAGCCCTTGTGAGTGGGCAATATGACTGTGGAATGTGAAGCCTACTGTTTTATCTCAGCCATCAATTCCCCTTGGGGAGGATGGCACAGGCCTGTGAATAACATACTTTCTCAGAAAGAGCCTCCTTCAGTTCTATTCCAGGGATTGAGTTTCCAGGAAGTAAGGGCCCCAGTGACTGATTTACTGAGAGATGTTCTTGGGGGAACCTAACACTCATTTTATGGTCACATTTTTTATTGATAGACACGGATGACCAGAAAAGTGATGGACACACACACACACACACACACACACACACACACACACATACACACACACACGAAGGTCTGAGAGCTGGGACCAAATGAAGGCACTCATCAGCAAATTGGGAGGCTGAGCATTTGTGTTTGGGGGGAAATCTGTGACCATTTGCTGAGCCTTAGAAACTGGCATCTTCTTCAAGGGCCCAGGTGGTGAGAAGGATCTTGCTGAAGTGGGGAGGACTTGGTATGCCCAGCATACCAATTAGGTTAGAAGAAATTATTTCCTTGAGCAGTGCAGCAAAACTCCTACACACACACACACACACACACACACACACACACACACACACAGACACACACACACACACACTTTGTCTCACTGAATTGAAGAGACACTTGGGCACCATTGGTGAGGAAGATGGGGGCTGATTACATGAGATAATAACAGTAGTAGTAATAGTAATAATTGTCAGCATGGGAAAAACTCAGTTGTGCAGGACTTAAGTTGTTTGAAAAACACTCCTTGTGTACACTAAATCTTGTTTACTTGCACTGCCCCAGGTCACCATTTGGGGAAACTGAGTCTTAGAGAAGTTTATTGAACTGGTCACTGAGGCAGAGGGCAGTCAAACCTAGACAGCACTGTGGACCACTGCAAGTTCAGACTCTCCAATAGGAAAGCATATTTCTTCTTTCTGTACCCTCCAAGGAACAGGAGGATGAAAATGCAGGCTGAGAAGTCCAAAATGATGCAGACTTGGGGGAGAATATGAATTACATCCACAAGCTGTCCTAGAGACACAACCACCCCCTGAACTTCACAGGCCAACCCATGAGTCCTGCTGTCCCTGGCCCTTGGCTGGCAGCAGCAGCTGTAAGAAGACCAGGGCCAAGGTTACCAGCCACAAGGTGATTGCAGCAATGTGTTCTCAGCTCTCAGGCCTGAGAAAGTTACTGATCCCTTCCTGGAGGCAGGAGCCCAAGCAGAGATAATTTTGGGAAGAGAGGAAGCTGCAGGTGTTTGCCACTCATTTCTTCCCTGACTGTTCAGAGCGGCTACCCGGACTTGCATCCACATCTAAATAAATGCTCCAGAACTAGAAAACTATGAAGATGCTAAACCTCAAGACCCATTCCCAGATGTCAGAGTGGGCACTGCATGCATCATTTCTTGGGCAGGACATCTTCTTAAGAGAACGAAACAACCACAGGACATATTTATTTCCCCCTCTTCTCCTCCCTCCCTTGCATCCTTCCATATTTAATCAGCATGCAAAAATAATCCATTTTGTTATGTCCTTGGTCTTTTGAAGAACCAGCATCTGCAACACTGGTCCTGCCCAGCCACTTGGGTGGGGAGGTGTGCACAACAGAGATGACCCAGAATCCCTGTACGACAGTTCATTTTGAGTGTCGAGTTGTCTGGGCTGTGGTTTGTGGTGAAACATTATTCTGGATGTTTCTGTGAATGTGTTTTTGGGATGAGATTCATGTTTAAGCTGATAGACCTTTTCAGTGGAGCAGACTGCCCCATAGTGAGAGTGAGCCTTTCCCAATCAACTGAAGGTCTCCTGTATACCAACAAAAGGGTGACCTGCCCTGAGCAAGAAGGGGTTCCTCAGTAGATGCCTTCTGCCTTGAAATGCATCAGCATCCCTCCAGGGGCTCCAGGTTACCAGCCCACTCCACAGATTTAGGCATGCCAGCTTCCACAACTCTCAGGCCAATCCTTTAAGTCTGTTTCTCTGCATGTGCAGGTCCAGCTAATTCTGTTTCTTTGGAGGACTCTGACTAATACATTTGCCTAAAGCATCTGCTTGGACCATTGGGCTCTCAGTGCCACCTCTCCCCATTTTCTCTGTGGTTCTCTTCCATCCACATGCCCCCACCCATCTGCCAGCCTCAGCTCCCCTTGCACCATCACTTTCATGCTTTTTATTACATAAGTGCTGCTTGCCAACTGACTGAGCTTCGGTTCTTCACAGTGTTTTTTCCTACCAGACTTTGTCCTCAATGAAATCAAAAGGAACGAAGCAGACCAGAGAAAGACCCACATTTTCTGTCATTTTCAGTGTCATTCATGCTAAATTTACATCTTGAGTGCTGTAAGGGAAAGTATTTCTTCCCACAGCTAGGGAACATGCATTCTTTATGTGATCTCTGAGACTCCAGCATCATGTTTATTCAGTGCTGGGGGTGAGTGAAGCTTTATCAGAGCTCTGTGGAATTGTTGGTAATCCCCACCCCACCTGGGAAGAGTGCTTGTCCTTTTTGCTTCCTGGAGAACTACCTTAGTCCCCCAAGAGCTCATTGCCCCTACAAAGCACTCTGTTCTCTATTAGAATTTATCATCATCACACTGAAAATAAGCAAGTGCTTTTCTCTCTTTCCAGAGTCCAAGAGGGTGGGTTCATGCCTCACTCCTCATTGGGGACTTTCAGAGGGGTTATGTAGTAAGAAGAGCTTCTCTTCTTTGCCTGGTTGAGAGAGAGAGAGAGAGAGAGAGAGAGAGAGAGAGAGAGGAGAGAGAGAGAGAGAGAGAGAGAGAGAGAGAAGAGAGAGAGAGAGAACCAGAGGGATGGGACCATATGGGGAAAAAGAGGCCAGGGAAAAGGAGAATGCCCTAGGTCACTTCATTCTCACTTGACCTTTCTGTAACCTTAATCTGTCAGATACTCTTGGTAACACTGTGGCAGAGTCCTAAGGGCAAGAAGAAGACACCCTTTGCCTCTTGTCATTAGCCAGTATCACAGGAATCCCCAAGCGGCCCTGGCAGGCTGGAAGGTAGAAATTGGCAACAAGGCTCGGGGAGACTCTGCCTCTAGAAGATCTTGGCACAGGACCGTAATTGTGGGTTCAGGAAACACTGCTTTTGGCTCATGCAATTCTTTCCACATAATTAAAAATGGGAGAAGTGAAATGTCAGAAGGAAATATGCATTTAATTCATTTTAAAGAGCCCCCATTCAATTTTGAATTCTGCCCTTTTGTGTTCTTGCCTCAGTTCTTGGTCACTGTAAATCAGTTCACAAAATGGTTTTAAAATAGGAAAAAAGGAGCACAGAAGCAGTCATTTACATTTAATCTTGTTCTGGTGCTAGTTGGGATGCTAGTTTTGAAGTGTGGCAAGGAGGCAGAGGTGGTTTTGAACATGTGGAGGAGAATAATAATTTTAAATGGAAAGCAAAGGGGGTGTGGTGGGGTGGTGGAGGTTTGAGATGGCCACCAAAAACTTCCAAGAATCTCTCAGGGGTGCTGGGAGTTGCAAGCATTTCCAATTCCTCCTTAATGGGATTATGAACAAAAGCCTTCTTGAGCAAGGACTTCTCTGAGCTCACTTAAAAAAAACAATAAAACGAGGCAGAGGCAGGCGGATCTTTGTGAGTTCGAGGCCAGCCTGGTCTACATAGTGAGTTCCAGGACAGCTGGGGCTTGTTTAAGGGAAGCACGAGTCTTATATCCAAAGCTTGTTTTGGTTCGTTTTGTTTGAAATCAGGTCTTGCTATAACAGCTCAGGCTAGCCTCAAACTCTCAGTTCTCCTACTTTAGCCTCCTGAGTGTTGGGATTACAGGTATGTACTACCATGCCCGGCTGACATCCACAACTTGATGAGGGTTAAATTTGTGATATTTAGCTGGGTGTGGTTATATGTACCTTTAGTTCCAGTCTCTGGGAAGGCAGAGGCAGAAGCAAGTGGATCTCTGGGAGTTGGAGGCTACCATAGTCTTCATAGCGAATTCTAAGCCAGCCAGGGCTAGCTACATAGTGATGAAAAAAAAAAAAAAAAAAAAAAAACCCAAAACCCCCAACCTCCCCCCAAAATAAAACAAAACAAGCGAAAAAAATAAGAAAAAAGTACTGAAATTAGCCTAATTTGTGACCTCATCAAAAACTACTCAAGGGAAAATGTCACTTTCCAAGGCTTATATTTATCTGAGAGCATTAAATGCTTCTAAACCAAGAAAGGAAGAAACCAAACGGGTTATTTATGAGTTTTAAGACACTGTGAAGTAAGCCAGTCGCCCAATAGCTGACCCAGCGGCTCACTGGAGTCCCCGCAGCTGACTACCCTGCCCCCTAATGGACACAAGTGGTGACGCAGCTCCGGGCCGCAACAGCGGAAAAGCTGGCCACTTTCAGACAGCGCCTCGTGCTGACGCTGTCAGCGCGCACAGCTTAGAGCTCTTTGCTTGCTTTCAGACCGTAACCAGGCAGGCACCAGCAAAGCTGCAGACTAGGGCACTTCAAAGACTTCGGAGTGGCGACACAGTGGGTGCCGCCTGCAGGTCTCCCACCTGGGCGGAGAGCGCGGACATCTCTGAGGCTACCAGCGGCTGTGCCACGACCCGGGAACGCCAACTTTGGGCCAACCTGCCAGCTCCGCGCAGGTAGCTGGGTCCTGCGCTGAGTGGGAAAGGGATGATTAGGACGGGTGGGGCCATCCGGCTTTGCGTAGAGCTGCGAGTGCACTTCGCCCTTCTTGTTCCTAGAGGCGCAGGATGCTCTGAAAGGTTGAAAAGTGACAGCTGAGCCCTTGACTGTCCCGGGCTGCTGTACCTTTAAGGCTGCTGGGCTGGAAGGGATTCCTGAGAGAGGTGTGTGTCTATACTAGGGGTCCTTAGGACGGCAGCTCTGAATCCTGGGGGTAGTCTAGGAGGCAGAAGTCCCCGCAGGAGGGAGCGCAGGACCTGGGTTCCATGCAAGCAAGCAGCTTCGGGAAGTTCAGGGAGCTGAGGCTGAGCATCTTGGAAGCCAGAGGTGGAGAATGAACGGTCCTGAGCCGAGCTTTGGGGAAGTCTCAGGAAGTACCTAGAGTAAACTAACTAGCAGCTGGACTGGCTTGGCAGTCCCGCTGGAGGTGGCCGTGCGGAGTGTCCTGATGGGGTAGGTGTCGGTTTGGGGGTCCTTTGGGGGAGGGGAGAGGCTGGTCCCAGTCCCTGGCAACGTGATTATGATCACCCCCCTCCCCAGGCAGAGTGACTGACTCTCCTGGCACCCACGCTCAAGGGCAGAGGAGTCCCTGCATCTGCGGAGGATCAAAGGAGGTACTGCAAACCGGAATTTCTGGGGTGGCAGCTGAGCAGCCGGGTGGTTGGAGTTTGTGCCCCGAGACTCAGGTAATGAGATTTCAAGGAAGGGGGACAAACATGCCCCACACGTGTCCTAAGTGAAACGCGACTATGGTTTCACCATCCTGCTGGTTTGTTTCAGGGCGGGACGAAGCCTGTCAGTAGTCAGGACTCAGGCACACCTGGACGGCGCTTGGGCCCCGCCTCGCCTTAAAGGGTTGGAAGGCCGGGTGCGCACCGCAATGGTTACCATCATGGAGGAAACACTGTCAGCCAACTGGAGCGCGGAGGCGGACCTCGGGAGCGGAGCGCCACCGGAGGCCGAGGGCAACCGCACCGTCGGGCCACCCAGGCGCAACGAGGCTCTGGCGCGCGTGGAGGTGGCGGTCCTGTGCCTCATTCTGTTCCTGGCGCTGAGCGGCAACGCGTGCGTGCTGCTGGCGCTGCGCACCACGCGCCACAAGCACTCGCGCCTCTTCTTTTTCATGAAGCACTTGAGCATCGCCGACCTGGTGGTGGCTGTGTTCCAGGTGCTTCCGCAGCTGCTGTGGGACATCACCTTCCGCTTCTACGGGCCGGATCTGCTGTGCCGCCTGGTCAAGTACCTGCAGGTGGTGGGCATGTTCGCCTCCACCTACCTGCTGCTGCTCATGTCGCTCGACCGCTGCCTGGCCATCTGCCAGCCGCTGCGCTCGCTGCGCCGCCGGACCGACCGCCTGGCGGTGCTCGCCACGTGGCTTGGCTGCCTGGTGGCCAGCGCGCCTCAGGTGCACATCTTCTCGCTGCGCGAGGTGGCAGACGGCGTCTTTGACTGCTGGGCGGTCTTCATCCAGCCCTGGGGACCCAAGGCCTATGTCACATGGATCACGCTGGCCGTCTACATCGTGCCGGTCATCGTGCTGGCCGCCTGCTACGGCCTCATCAGCTTCAAGATCTGGCAGAACCTGCGGCTCAAGACGGCGGCGGCGGCGGCCGAGACAGCTGAGGGGGCTGAGGGGTCAGCTGCGGGTGGAGCAGGGCGTGCGGCGCTGGCGCGGGTCAGCAGCGTCAAGCTCATCTCCAAGGCTAAGATCCGCACGGTGAAGATGACCTTCATCATCGTGCTGGCTTTCATTGTGTGCTGGACGCCTTTCTTCTTCGTGCAGATGTGGAGTGTCTGGGACGTCAACGCACCTAAGGAAGGTAGTGCGGGTGGAACCGGGAAGGGCGGAGGGGCCAGGCCGGAATCCTGCTGTTCCTGCATGTCTCAGGTTCTGGGGTCCTCCTGGGGCATGAGCTGGCTTGAGTCACCTCAGCACCAGCATCCCCTTTTCTGTAGACTTTGAGGAGATAGTCTCTCTGAGTCTCCACAACGTCAAATACCACAACTGGGAAATGAGGAAAGCACCAACGCTCACTAGAATGCAGGCAAAACTCCCAGCACGGGCTTTGTGCATCTTATAGCATGGAAGTCCTTATTATGAGGGTGGTAGTGGGAGGGGTTGGGAACTGAGGCAGGTCTTTCCCACAATGAGCCAGGATGGAGGTGGGTTCCCAACTGGCCTCAGGCTCAGGCTCCTTCTACTTTGAATCTACATTAAATTGAACTGCTTTTCAAGTCCCCCTGAATGGATGAGGTCATGTTTGGATGAGGGCAGCCTCAGGAGCCAGTTCATCTAATGAAAAACTTAAAGGGTGTCCCTGGGACCTTTTGGGGAGGTAAAAACAAGTTCCAGAGCCCCTTATCTTGTGGAGTCACTTGATGGAGAGGTAAGTACCTCAGAGGCCCTGGGCTGCCCCAGGACTGAGCCCTGCATTTGGGGTGAGAGGAAGGCAGGAGGAAGATGCTCAGGTTTGTCTGAGAGGCTGTGATTACTGTGCAGGGAGGAAGATCCTTTGACTTTGGAGGACCACTGAGGTTATAGGAGGTGGCCTGTGTTTGTTGCAAGCCAAGAAGAGGGGGATGGTGGTACATCTGGAGGAGAGACGTGGGGACACAGCAGCCCTATGACTTGTGCTGGGCACGAGGTGCAGCATCCAGACAGCCCCCTCACTCCCACCAGTTCCAGTGGCTTATTGGAAAGAGCAAGAGCCACAATCACTGGCGTCACTGTCTTACACCTTTGTTTTGAAGATCATCACATCAGACATCTGGAGAGGCCTGGCCTCACTTCACAAGCTAGCCAGGAAGGACCCAGCCTTTCTATTCCTAGTCAGTGTGGACATCCTGTCACAGATATTATCACTGCTACACTTACTCAGAGAAGCTGGGATCTCAGTGCAGATGGCCTGCATTCCCTTTATAACTCTGCTTTGGTCCCTTATGGAAACCACTGACTTCTGGCTTTAGAGAGCACCCCCCTCACCCCACCTTGTTCCATAGTAGCCAGAACACTTGTCAACTGTCAATCAGTATCTATTGATGACATATTATATTCAGGGCGAGGGTTGCCATGAGAGATCAGTAAGTCAACCTGACTCCATGGTGTGGCCTCTGGTCACTCATTACAGAAGGGTGAAGGCACCTGTGCTGGGTCACACAGCAAGTATGGGCAGAGCAGAGGCTACATCATGGGTTTCCTTCTCAGAAAGGAAAGACTAGGGAGCTGGGAAGATGCAAGCCAGAGGTAGAGGCTTCTAAATACGTTAGGTCACACCTGTTTCCTCAGCAGATCTGGAAGAGACTAGTCCCCTGTCTACAGAGGGAGCCCAAATGCCAATGCTACAGAAGCAAAATGGGGACTACTTAGAGCAAATCTGGGGTTTACCTAATATGTCAGTAGCTTCTCTTCTTGCTATGACAAAATGCATGACAAAAGCAGTTTAAGGAATGAGGGTTTACTTTGGTTCACAGTTTGAGGGTACAGTCCACCATGGTGGGGAAGACATGGTGGCAGGAGCATGACGCAGCTGGTCACATTGTGTCTCCAGGAAGCAGAGAGAGATGAATGCTGGTGCTCAGGTCACTTTCTTCTTATTCAGTCCAGACCCAGCCCGTGGGTGATGCCACCCACATTCAGGTGGGTCTTTCCTTCTCTGTTAAACCTCTTTAGAAACCCTTTCACAGTCATGGCCAGAGGTGTGTCTCCTAGGTCATTCTAAATCCTATCAGGTTGACAATGAGGCTCGTCACACCTGAGGTCTGCTCCTGTCTCTTGCCCTCACCAGCCCTGGGATACTGGGTCAGGGATCCCTTTGTCCCCTGACTCTTGGTGTCTAATGCTGAGGATAAGGACATTTCATATGGTCCTTGTGGTAGGACATCTTGGAGAGGCTTGCTTTTCTGTGGTACAGCCCTGGGGAGAGCCATGGGGAGGGTGGTCAGGCTTCATTCATGTCCCCGCCCCGTCCCCTCACCCCCTCACTGCTCCCATGCTCCCATTCATCTTGTGATCTCTCTAAACCCCTAACCCCATCTTCACATGGCTTGCTGTTGTCCAGTCCCTCACGTGACTGCCTCACTCTCGATGTCTGCTGTTTGTCCTCTCTGAAGACTGAGGGCATGTGACATCCCATGAAGTGAAGCTTCAAACTTATCTGTGCTTTAAAAGTGCATCAAGCAACTTGCTTTTTTGTCTTAAAAGGAGGGAGGGAGAGAGGGAGGGAGGGAGGGAGG